ATGGCACTACTACAAAATTGTCTTACAATGACACTTATTCAGTGACACTTTAACATGAGTATTGAATTCCCGACATATACATGTCATTACTTTTTGTCCAAATATTATGAGTACGGATAGTGACACTTACGGAGTATATTTATTTCTCTCAGGCATTCTTATTCAGTCAACACATCAAGCGATTCTCACAATCTCACCCTAACCCTAAGCTAGCGCTTTCTTCCCGACCAATCTTCTTCCCGCTCGAGCGACGTGCGGTTCTCGTCCCCTTACAACCCATTTACAAAGCAATTATCTCGGTCCAGGCAACCGGTGAAGCAGAGGAGTGGTAAAAGGAAACTCCATCCATGAAGCGGATTCAAATGGCAGCAACACTCGCAACGATTCTCATAAACCGGTAGTGTCTTCTCTGCTATGTGGAACTTTTACTACTTCTTCTTTTCCGCTCCATATCTTGTAGTGCAGCGAGCTCGGGCGAAGGAATGACGGTGAGGAGAGTCTGAAGCTGCTCCTGTGAGATCAAATCTAGCGGTAAATTACGTTTTGAGCTGGATTTTTCTCGACCTCACGCCAGCCCTAGCCGAATGACGGATTGAGTCGGTAAATCTTGCTTTCGTCTCTTTAGGATTCCCAATAGATAAAGAAATACTCTGGATGGTATTTGTTTGTACTTTGTCCAACACCTGTATCTATTCTACTACATTCTTTAATTTAATTTATAATTAATTTTGACACTGATTAGATATGCTTTTTATGCCTTGAAAATGGCAGCCATGATAGATATATACTGGTGTGATTCCGCAACTTGGAAGACATGATGAAGTAGCAGTTTCCAAGTGTATGTTGGTTTCATACTCTGTATATTTGTTTGGATTTTAATTCAAATTCCTTATTAAAAGAGTTCATTCTTTGCAGTTGTGTTCAATTGTGGTCTTTTGAAACTGGTTTCATTCCTATAACCATATATGTTTAGTAAGTATGATGTTACTTCATGGTAATCTCATTGCTCTAGATTTTGAAATTAAATGGGGACTTGAGGTTTGTCAATGAATATAAATGGTCTTAATAAGTGTTTGAGAAACATGAACCAAGTTTATTTGTCTTTCTACAGAAAAGCTGTCATGAAAGACCCTTCCACCATCCTCTTTAGGTAACAATGATTTTTTTACGTACTATGTATGTATTTATTTATTATTGATAATATTCTGTTTTTGTATACTTTTTTCTATTGGTTTGTTTATTTTCGGAGTCAATTAATTAAATTCAGTTTGATATAAAGCATGTAAACGTATATTTCTTAGGTTTTAGTTTTCTAATATCTATCAAGTGTTTGTAAGGATGCCTTAACAAGAAGTGAAAATGAAAGTTAAGTTAATTAGTTAGTGCAGGGAGTGCGTGGAATATATTTCTAATATATTTCTTAGGCTTAGTGAAATACAATATCTTCATATATGTAAATACATTTTATATGATACACTAAACAAGGTTGAATTTGAAATGGGTGAGACTGTGAGAGTAATGGTATGTACATTTTTATATTCATTATAACTTTTAGTATAAATTTAATTATCTAATAAGTCAACACTTTATATGTGTGTGTAAACTGTATTATACTTGGATTAGAGGTTTCTTGATTGTATAAGGTAACAAACAGAGCTGGTGCTTTACTACAACTTCTTTGTTTTTACTAAATCTATGGTTTGTATTTACTGTCTATTTTAATTGAATATATGCAGTGTCCTAAACAAACAGGAGTAGTAGTTGAGTGTGGTTACTTCTTGATGAAGTATATGAAGGACATTGTATCAGACGTGAATCTATTGAAACGGAATGTGAGCGCAATTGGGAACTTTTGATTTTTATTAGTCAAATTATTGTATGTTGTAATAAAGTAAGTGCTTATTAATTTAATTTTATATTGAAGTTCTCTACAATCAAGGAGTATATCGAAGATGATATTATACATGTGCGTGAGGAGTGGGCTTTGTATGCTGCTACTTTGATAAAAAAAGTAAGTTCACATTTAAAATATACTGAAAAATAAGTTTCATATATATAATATGGATGTAATAATATATTTTGTTTGATATGTAGTTTGCAAGCGGATCCTACAAAGGCTTGATGATATGCACGGGGAGATGCGTTTGGGATTATATTGTTGATTGCGGTTAGAATGGTCGGTGTTAATTATGTTATCTATGTAGAATGTAGAGGCAGGCAGCTGGTCACACTTTTGATACCTAAACAATGGTACTTGTTAGGAATGTGACTTGGTTTGTATTTTAGCATCTTCAATGATGCTTGGTAGTAATTTTTTTGCTGGATTCTATAGCCGCTTTTTTTGCAAGAATTGTATGGCTATTTTTTTGCGGAAATGTTGCTGGAATTTTGCTACATCTTTTATCTAGCTGTAGGAAATGCAAATGAACTAGAATGTGAAGGTGTTGCTGAATATTTTATCTTAAATGTATGTGTTTGGGGTATCCACTATTTTTTGGATGTTGTTATATTTATTTATGAATAAAATGCAATAGATTAGATTTCTACTAAAGCTGCAATAGGCCTATAGGCCCAAATAAACGAAACCAATCAATTGACATTAAAGTGTCACAAAAATCTATGATGTATAAACGTCGCTATCTTATACGATACATTAGTGTCATAAAAATCTATGATGCTGAAGTGTCATTAAAATTTGTGATAAATTAGTGTCACAATTTTTCCTGATGTACAAATGTCGCTATCTTAGACGACACATTAGTGTCATAATTTGCCGACACATAACCGTCCCCGTATTAGTGACACTTTATTTAGTGTCACTAGCCGACACTTTCCTCGACGCTTTTTTAGTGTCACAGAAAGTTTTTGTGACACTAAATTAGTGTCACTATAGGCCATTTTTCTACTAGTGTGGCTCACTCATTCTAAGAATAAATAATTCAAATACTTCAAACTTTTAACGTAATATGATCTAATAACATCTTATGCTTTTTCTAAAAAAAAATACCTTTTATTTACAGTACTAAGACCACTTTGTGTTAAAGTATTTGTCTCACACTGGAAAACTATAAAAACAATAAAACACTATATAAGATTTTGGGCTACTCCTCCTATCAGCAGGTTGACCTTTTGGGATGAAACTTCGAATCTTAACATGGTATCAAAGCAAGTCCGGTTGTGGTTTGACCGCCTATTTAGCACGCATAAATGCATAATTAAGGGTAGCTTGTTAAGAGTCTTTTTGACCCATTTATACACTGCAATATTGTCAATTGCAATATTGTTAAAGTATTTGTCCCACACCAAAAAACTATAAAAACAATAAACACTAAATAAGACATACTTTGGGCTACTCTTCCTATCCGGTTCATCTTTTAGGTTGGAACTCTGGATCTTAACACTTTGAATTAAAACTTATCATATTTATTTTACACATGCTAATTTCAAGTACTCAATTCATGCTTCAAAGTCGTATTATGTAAGTTATTTTTCATTTGTTATATAATAAAATTCTTGATTCAATAATACATCCATTTTTAAGTTAGTTGTTCCAATAGATATATTTTTATGAATTTTACACTTTTATGAAAATATTTTGAATAAGGAACATTTTGTTCTAATTTTTATATTCAAAATATTTTTCATATTAAAAATATCATTAGTCAAATTTGATTATCATTAAATGGAGGGAGTAGTACATCACAATTTTTTTTGTGAAGCGGATGCTCGCTCCATCCCCCTATCTCCGCCCCAAATCTCAGTCGGCATAAATATAAGACATATGATCGTTGTACCAATGAAATCACCATGATCAACGACTTCTCATATGCTCGAAATAGTGAACGAATGGACTTGGAAAGTGCATGTGTATGTCTTACTGAACCACGAGCGCGAAATAGTGAAGGAATCTTGTGGGATAGTCTTTTGAGTTTTGACAGCTAATTTTCCTTATTAGTCTTGTTTCTTTTTTATGGATGAAATGAAATATTGGTCTTGTTTATGTTTGGTAGCGTTGTTGTCATGTTCAATGTTGCTGAAAATATACCTCACCTTTAGAGAACTTTTATGCCAATAATGATTGTGTCCAATGCATTGTTCGTAGAAAACTCGGACTAAAATACATATATGGCCCCAACGAGATGTTCTTGTCTAGTTGTCTTGACTCTATAGCACCACAAAAGTGGATGATGGCAACCGGTCGGATTTAGATCGTGTGGACGCTCATCCACGTCCACCCGTTAATTTTTCATATTTCACACACCCGTCTATCATCCATTAAATAGTACATCTACATCCAATCCATCGGTTATGAACGGGTTATCGGGTGGATCAGGTGAGTAACGGGTAAATATAAACTGTCTAACTTGAAAGACAAAAAATAAATTATGAGGAGAAATCATAAGAATTAAAAAACCAAAAATTAAGAATTTCATTGAATAATAACAACAAAAACTTGCATAATTAAGTACTACATATATTACAATCATTAATTCACCGCGGATAAAGAAAAAATTGATTGTCAAACAAAATACATATAAAACTTCATCAAGTTGTCACTCTACATTTTTGCATCGGCACAAAATCATTTTTCTTGTTCAACTGTCACTTTTTGAAATTTTCCATCATTTGCAATGGAGCCAAAGATTCATTATTTTTTGGCTTGAGAATATGATGGAATAAAACAAAATGACTCACTAAACTATCTGCACTTCTTTGTTATGAAGCAACAGTCAGTCCATGCAATTTAGGACGCAATTTTCACTATGGGTCATCCGAAATCAGTCTCTCTATGCTTTAGTACAGGGGTAAGACTGCGTACATCCGACCCCCCCTTACCCCACCATAGGTGAGAGCCTTTGCGGCACTGGGGTAAATGAAAATGAAACTGTCACTTTTTGAAACTCTCCAATTGTCTTTATTAAACCAATTCATAGATATGTGTCTTCTCCATTAAAAATACACACACACACATATTTTTTTAAAACCCGAAAGGCAAACCACCAAAATCAATGGGGCAAATGCCGGGGAACATTTGCTCGATTTTATTGACATAAAAAAGAAGTACAAACGAAGAGGAAGATTATACCAAAAACCTCTTCAGAAAGAGTATCTCCTATCAAGCTACAAAGAATAAGCAAAAAGAAGGAAGAAACTAAAGTAAAAATTGGGGGACCAAACCTTACCCAATTACTACAAAAAGCCAAAGAGAAAAGGAAATTAAATAAATCTGAAAGATGGCAACCCAAACAGGTCCATGAAATAAGGATGTTTTCTTTTGGACTGTTTTCAGTCCCAGACCAGACCAGACCAGACTTAAACAGATCAGACCAGACCAGACCAGACTTAAACAGACCAGACCAGACCAGACCAGACTTAAACAGACCAGACCAGACCAGACCAGACTTCCGTAGTTATAAAATACACAGAGACCAGACGTTTACCAGACCAGACCAGACCAGTTCAGACCAGACCAGACCAGACTTAAACAGATCAGACCAGACCAGACCAGACTTAAACAGACCAGACCAGACCAGACCAGCAAATTTCAGTCCAAAAGAAAACATCCTAAGCATGCTTAGAAGCATTTGGTAAATCAGATGGGCCATGGTAAATTTTCAGCCCAGATACCTTTTCCTCCGCGAGAAAGTGAGCGGCCCAGTTGCCCTCATGCATAACATGTCTGAAGCAGACATTCTTTCTAACCTGGACATTGTTGTCTGAAGCTCATCTTCCCACCTGCGATTTCCACACCCTTCCACAATGGATAAAGCCTTCATCGAGTCGGTCTCAACCTGAAAAGATTGATACCCAACTGTAATCGCCCAACGTGATGCAAATAAAAGTGCTCTCAGTTCAGCTTCAACAGGCGAAGTAGCCTCGATCTGGAATTGAAGACTGAAGACCATCTTCCCCTCCAAGTTCCACACACACACACATATAAATTATTATATATATTATTTAATAAATATTATATATTTATATGTGGGTTAGCGGGTGGGTGGATGGAGCGGGTGGCGTCTCAGGTGATGGGTTGGATGAGTGTACATCCACACCCGGTCCAACCCATCTTTCAATCCACGGGTTATCCATTTTTCATCCATATTTTTTCGGGTTTTCATCCATATTTTCGATTCGGGTTGACCGGGTATCCATGAGTGCGGGTGATATTGCCAGACCTAATGGCAATGAAAATCAAAAGCGATTGACTAATGTGCACATAAAGGCAAAAAGAAGGAAACGCTGTAAGAAAAAAATACGCTTTTTTGAAGGAAACGGTATGAATCCACCGTTTCAGATAAGGAGTTTTGTTACGGAGTATTATTCATAATAATAATAATAATAATAATAATAATAATAATAATAATAATAATAATAATAATAATAATAATAATAATAACAATAATACACGGAGTATTACATTTTATTAAATTCTTTTCCCTCAATATCTAATTACTCATCATTGTAACGATTTTATTCAATTCTTTTCCCTCAATATCTAATTACTCATCATTGTAGGGGTTTTACACACGGAGTCTGTAGTTTGAGAAAATACGGATAAGTCCCACCTCATTTAAAAAATGCGTCAAACTCCCCTGTATTATAATTAATCGTGCATCAAATCCCCTCCAAAAACTTAATTTCCAAAAAAATGAAAAATGGTTAGTTTTCTTGAATAATTTTGAAAATTTGACAAAGATACATGCATATTCAACCATACTATTATAAAAACTGATTTCAAAATTGTAAAATTTGTTCTTGCATGAGGTTTGGTGCATGATTAATTATAACACATGGGGGTTTGACGCATTTTTTAAATCACAGAGGGCTAATGCGCCGAATTTTAGTTTCACGAGGGGTTTGGTGCATAAACCCCGCATAAGGTATATGATGTCAGAAGTACTAGAGGATGTCGGCAGGGATGGATCCATGAATAATGATCAGAAAAATGCGTGGTGTACACAAAATGTGAACACCTTTTTCGTACACTTGTATGTCCCCACCAGACAGACAACTCAAATTTGAGTTGTCTGTGACAGACAATTTGTCTGGGGACAACTCAAATTTGAGTTGTCTGTGACAGACAATTTGTGTGGGGGGACAGACAAGTGTACAAAAAAGGTGTACACATTTTGTGTACACCTAGCAAAACTCTAATGATCAAGTGGGACAATTTTTTTGCTAGTGTAGGACTCTGCCTAATTCTGTATTGGGGTGAGACAAGAATATTAATTTAAATTAAACTAATACTCCCTCCGTCTGCAAAATTCTTCCTGGTTTGACTTGGGTCGAAGTTTAAGAAATTAAGAATAAAGTGGAAATGCATAGTTGTGAATTTGTGATTGAGTAAGAAAAGGTAAATAAATGGTAGTCACACAAGCTTTCCAAAAGGGGAAATGAGAAGAATTTTATGGGAAGGGGGAGTACATAAAGAGTCTTTTTTACATTTACACTTAAAAGGATTAAGAGGACAATTACACCCCTACACACCTTACTCATTGTTACAGCGACTAACGCTATAGTAATCAACGTTACAGTTACATTGTTTGAGTTGGTGACACTGTCGTCTCAGGGATTTGTTTTCCGGTGAACCCTCCCTTTAATGACTTGTGATCCGTCTCAATGTCTGAGGCCAATGATACCATTCACGCTACCCCACTGACTTGCTCCACCATTAAAACCAGCCCTCCACTCACCATAGTTGCAACAGCCCTGGCGACACCACCGCCCCAATGGAAGTTAGCATCAATAGCCTGACATCCGCCATTGCCCGAACAGATTCCTGCCATAGTCCCACTATCAAGTGTAGGTTGTACCACCGCACAACATAACCCAAGCCGCCGCCATCACACGTCATCGGTGCCAGAACAAATTGCCGATCATCACAAGCCACTAACACAAGTTTCCATCACTGAATGACCACCGTAATTGTCATCATTCCTTGCATGCTTACCGCCTCAACTCGCTCTGTCATGCACCATCGTCGTCACCAAGTGCTGGGATTCGTCGCCCAGAGCCGGCCACAGAGGTTAGCAGCGACGAAGTCTTGGTTGGTAAGCAAGGAACGACGACATATTTTGTCGTCGTTCCTTGCTAGATCAAGAGCCTGTTTGGTGACACTGTTTTCGACTTATCAGACTTATCAGTCAACCTTTTCACCAAACACGTAACATTTGATTTTTCGTGTTGTATTGTACGGAGTATAATAACAAGAAAAAGTAAGGTTGGAGTTACTTTTCTGACTATATTGGATGAAGTTACTGTAGAGGATCATTTTAGCTATTTTTCATATAATTTTACATTTATTTTATTAATAAAGCACATTTAAATATAAGTTTTTCACAAATTAGCAAAATCAGCCAATCCAGCCACTTCATCCAGAACTTCATAAATTTCATCAAAATCAGCCGATGCAATCGATTTGGGTATACCAAACGGGCTCCAAATAAGGCATGCTTTTATAGGTATTCCCAAAAAAAACTCCCATTTTGATGGGTGTTGTTATATTTTAAAATTTCAAGTTTTCAATATTAATTGAAACTAAAATCTAAATGAAGATCAACAAAAGAGGAAGTAAATGTGTCTATGTTTTCTAGAATATGAATTGGATATATAAAAAGTTTAGAATACTTGGCTTCAATGCTCTACAGAGAGGTGTTTTTGTTTCAAACGTTTGACATGCTATCCAAATAGTGGTCACGGAAATGCATTTTTGTATCGAAAAGATAATAATTTTATATACTTTCTTCATCCATAAAACTTTACCAACATTCTTAATCATCCCAAAAAACTTTACCATGCATTTTCATGTGATAAATTCTAATCACGCAATTTTTAGTTTAGTATTTATAACCAAGTCAAATTTAGCCACATTGTCGGCTGGAAGACATATTATTTTACCACTCAACAATGGTTGAACATTCAACATATAGTTTTTTATGCACGTGGATGAACATTCAGAAATGCGGATAAGGTTGCACCACATTAAGATTGTGTCATTTTTCTTTTTCAAAAAACCCCACTAAGATGATTTCATACCAAATTTGTTAAAGTTTGTATGACTCTAAATCATTTTTACTTTATTCTTACTTTATCTGATGGATAGTCTACCCGGGGGGTATCTTATCCGAGGGGTTATTGCAGGAATAACTAGAGAGAAGCCAGAGTAAAATAGGAGGAGAGAGAGTCGATTTATTAAATGAACTCAGCGTGTGTAATCGAGATGTCGATCTTTTTTTACAAGGAGAAATGGGCTGCTATTTATAGCAGCAATAAATGCGATGGGAGGACACGTGTCAGTAATCCAACGGCCGAAGGGTCACATCAGCCTGGTGGCACCGGCAGTGGTACGTCAACCGCATTGAATGCGGTTGGTGGATGCGACGTGGCATTAAATGCGGTGGTTGGCTGTCTCTAAAAGGAATCTTCGATGATTGAGCTTGTTCAGCCGAAGGCACCTTGTGTAGCCGAGGGCTCCTTGTGTAGCCGAAGGCTTCTTGTGTAGCCGAGGGCTTCCCCTGGTGCCGAGGGCATGAGAATGCCGAAGGCTCATGTCTTTGCCCGTTTTCTTCCAGTAGCTTCTTATGCCAGAGAAGGCTATCCTGTGAGTTTTGGAGCCTTCGGCCAAGGAGGCCGAAGGCACCCCAGTGTGTATTCTGGGCTGCTTTGAGGCTTGGGCCGCGGTATTTGGGCCTGAGTTGTTTCCTGAGCTCAATGGACTTGTGTAGGAGAAGTGGGAGTCTACGGGCCGGGGGTTCCTGGGCCATATACTCCATCAGGAGTCCCTCACTCCTTTTGCCGAAAGGTACTTGAGGGAAAAGGAGTAGATGTGTCGCTTCTTCTGGAGGCTTCATGATTTCGCCGGGTGCTCTTGGTGGAGAACTTGTCTTCTGCTGATTGCCGAAGGCTTCCCTCAGTCCCTCACATGTCGAGGGTTTTCTGAGGGAAGGTATTCACAACCTTCGTATGTTCGCCGGGGGCTCCCCTCAGTCCCTCACATGTCGAGGGTTTTCTGAGGGCAGTATGACACCTGTATGACCGCAGAAGGCTTTCCTCAGTCCCCCACATGTCGAGGGTTTTCTGGGGAAAGCATAGGTGTATTGCCCGGAGGCCGTATGCGTCAATTTGTATGAAGAAATTTTTGTTATGTATGATCCCCGAGGGGTGTATCCCTGGAGTCCCTCACTCCTTTAGGCCGAAGTCGAGTTCGGGCTGAAGGAGTTATGATGAGTTGATGAGCTCCCGAGGGGTGATAACATTGGTAAGCCGAAGGCTCGTGCTGCTACGGGCTCGAAGGCGTTTGGTGTAATTTGTTGCCTGAAGGCTGCGGTGAGTGACTAACCGGAGGCTATCATTCGGGGGCATCCCAGTGTTGCCGAAATATAGTCGTTGTAATATAGCCGTTGGGAGAGGGGATGACGTGGCGTGCCCTCGTTGGTTGGGGGTGGGCGGCTGTCATTCATTGGCTGAGGCGGCGGCACGTAATGATGGGCTTTTCAAATCGAGGCCCAGTTCTCGAGGCTGAAGGCCTATATATACCCCAAGTCTGAGCTCATTTCCGCTGCGCGTTTTAGAATTGAAGCGAAGCTCTGCCGAAATTTCTAGAGAGAGAAAGCCTTCTCATTGATCAAACTTAAGTTTTCCTTCCGCCCCAAGGTCAGTTCTTCGCCTGTTCTTGAGCTCCTTAGTAGATTTTGCTTTTTCCTTCTTTGATTTAGTGTTTAGCGAGTTTCTAGGGAGCTTTCGGTTAGGGCTTTAAGTAACCTTCCCCTTTAAATCCTTCAACTTCTCTCCGGTAGAATGTCAACCCAAAGCGACTCTCAAGATATCTCGAGGGAGCCCTCAGTGCAACAAGAGGGCTATTCGGACGTGGAGTCCTCGAGTGAGACCTCCTCGGACAATAACGATTCCGCAGT